CTCTTGTGTGGCCACGATATGAAGGTGAAAGGGTCATGGCCCCCGCCCTTGAGGAGCCTGCAGTCTACTGGGAACAACAGACAGATGGACTGAAATGGCCGTTAAACGGCACTGCACACATAGAAGTGCACACAGCATTCTCTGAGAAACATGTGAGGGAGTGTCCAACTGCTTTGGAATCATAGATGGAGGCAGAGAAGGAAGTGAGGAGGTAGTTTTGGAACGTTGTGTTCTCTGCAACAAGAGGAAAGAAGATAAGAATAGATAAAGATACAGTTGAGTTTGGAAGTGGACAGCCAGGCAAATAAGGGCAATTTCTTGCCCAATGATGACTTCTAATGGACTAATACTATTGCACATTTTCAGCTTAGGATGTTAAGTATTCCTTTTAATAATAGAAAGGGGAGGTCCATCCTTGTAGAAAGATTTCCTTTATCGTGAGATTGTGCTTAATGATCCGGGATACAGGGGTAATACCATACCTGGGGGGAGAGAGAAGAGTTAAGAATTGGCTCCTAATGTGTTAAGATTATTTCAGAGTTTTGCACTGATTTTTGCCTTCGATGCAGGTATATAATAAAGACTTTTCAGCCTAATGAGCAATATGTGCATCAATGAGCAAAATAGATTGTGAGTGGGTTCAATGTGAAATGAACAGTATTGACTTCAGAATTCCATTAATTGTTTAAACATTTAAAATAGCTTAAAATTCCATTATTACTAAAAGTTGTATGATAAATCAAGAAGTACTAATTATCTAGCTATAGTGTGCAAATAGTAAAAAGTGTGTGTGTGTGTGTGTGTGTGTGTGTGTGTGTGTGTGTGTGTGTGTAAAATCTGTCCATCCTCACCTTCTGGCTTTGTATATTCTATGTAGGACATTTTGTAATGCCAGCTGCCACAGAAAATAGAAGGGAACAACTGAAAGGATTATTGATCATCATTAGATGCCTGGCCAAGTCTAGAAAACATTAATCAACAGCAGAGCCCGTTGACACCACTTATGTACTTTGCTCCAGCAGTGCTTGGCAGTTGCAATGCAGAAAAAGCAGATGACTAAATTAACCTCAGCTTGGATTAGGTAGACAAACCAGAAGGGAGGGGATGGACAGGAAAGTAATACAGGAGGCTGATTAGAGTGTAGTTCCATGTATTCTTTTTAAGGGTCAAGCGAGGTGTATAAGGAAGAGATGAAAAAAGGTTTGGATGTTCGTGAAAGAGAGCTTTGCTTATTAACCAAGTATATGAAAAGCTGGGTTTCTTTGTTGCAGGACTTCTTAGAGCCTTTATTATGCCAAATTAAACTTTTGGTCCTAAAATGTAAACTATACCATGACACTAATTTTTTTGACTCTAGGATTGAAGCGTCATTAACATCTCCCGGATGCGAGTGTTGGGCAGCATTATTTTGTGTATGTGGGTTCCTGCAGAACAGACACTGTCACGATTGTTTTTTAGCCTATGACATTTAGGGGCTCAATCAATGCTTACTGAATTGAAATGAATTATGAATTAAGGAGGCTCTTTAGAGCATTTGTCAGAGCCTAACAACTATGTGGCCTTTTATTTTCTATTGGAAAAAGGATAGATGTTCCATGCAAGTGATTTATAAAATAACTGGGAAGATCGTCTTGTAATTTGAGACCTTCCCAGTACTTTGTTGTTTTATTATCCAATTATTTTAAAGCCAGAGTAATCAAGTATTACCTGAATATGATCTAGGCTTTTTAGAAAATAAAATTATTTCTGAAATCTGAAAATGTTTTTAGAAAAGGTTTTCTATCTCTGTGTTTTAATCTAGTGTAGACACTAAAATGAAAATACGGATTTCTCAAGATATTGCCAGTCATAGGTTAAAACATATGCTTTTTGACCGTTTACTTTAAACTTTTGAGAACATGTTTAATCAGTATTTTTGTGCAACTCAAATCTGGGTAGTAAGCTTCAGTTATTAGGAAAAATAATTGACTGCAGCACAGGACAGTATGTTCCAGCTGATAAACCAATTGCCCATTGCCATCAAGTAAAATGATATTGTTATGAAATGAGAAAGTTAAGAAATTTAAACTTAGTTAAGAAATTTAACTTATTATATGTAAGAGCTTCTGTGATTTGCTTTTCTATAAAATTTTAAACTGTAAAATGGAGCAGGTGCTACATATCCACAATAATAGTGGAAGCTTCCTCTTGCATCTCCCTCAGGAGTAGAAGGATGTCTGTTATGGGAAACATTGGATTCGAAGCCATGAAATCCAAAACTAGGGTTCAAGGTCATTCACTTTATAGAGCAGTTAAATGAGTAGCTACTCAGTCAATGAGCCATTCAAAATTAATATAGTTGGTTTATGTACTTTTTAATAAAAGGAAAAGGATTTGACAATTTAAAGAATTTTAGTCATAGTACTAGAAAACCTCCTCTCCTTTGTCCTTTCCTTCATGAAAATCAGAAACGTTATTTCGTCATTAAAAATCTGGTGGGTGACATCTCCATGTTCATAAATGACTTCAAAAACCATTCATGTCTTCTAGTAGGATATGTAACTCATGGTTCTTTGTTTTGTCACTGCTTATAGTTGATTTCTGTTTCATTTTTAAGTCAATTTCTTGATTTCATTTTCTTATTCTGAAATCATTTAAGCATTAATTTAAGTTGTGGTATATTTATGTTTTGGTTTTTAGTTGGGTTTTATGTTGTTGTTTCTTTTTTTTTTGCTTTTCCTCCATTTTGCTTTTGGTTTTGTTTTTAACATTCCATGTGCACCCACCATTTTTTCCTCGACAGTGACCTACCTCAGGATCTTTGTCCTCTGTACAGGCCTGGAGAATGGGAAGACCTGGCTTCAGAAAAAGATATCAACCCATTTAGTAAGTTCAAATCCCTCAACAAGGAAAAACGGCAGCAGAATGGAGAGGGAGCCATCACTTCAGATTCCAAATCAACAGGACCTTTGGAGAAATCAACAGAATACACACATACAGAGCCCTCAGACACAGACAGTCCTGTGTCAGGAAAGTTAAAGAACCTGGAATCCTCTATAGAAGCAACCAATGGATCTACCACAGTAACTGAGGACAGCAAGGAACCTTCTGACACTCATACTGCATTTGAATCAATAGCCAAAGAAAATTCCCTTTTAGGGGAAGATGATGACTTCATTGACTTGGAAGAGCTTGCTTCTCAAACTGATAGTGGAATAGACAAAACAGACGCCTCAAAGGAGTGCCTTTCTCTTGACCCAGAGGAGCGAAGGAAGGCAAAATCACAAATAATCATTTCTGCTGCAGAAATGCAGGCGCAGCCAGCCCTGAACCTTTCAGGAACGGAGAGTGATGCTGAACTGAAGGGGGCCCTAGATTTAGAAACCTCTGAGAAGCAAGATAAAATGCCGGAGGTGGACAAGCAGTCTGGTTCTCCAGAAAGCCGGGTGGAAAACACACTGAACATACATGAAGATCTCGATAAAGTTAAACTCATTGAATATTACCTTAATAAAAACAAAGAAGGGCCACAGTTATCTGATAACTTACAAGAGGCAGAATTACGTGATGGCAAAAGTGTTGAGCCAGTGGGAATAGACATCACCCTTAGTAGTTCTCTTCCCCAGGCCAGTGAGCCTCTAACTGAGGACAGTAAAGAGCTAGATAAAACTGGGGTGAAAAAGACAGCCCCCCACCCACTGCAACTTGACTCTTCTACAGAAGAAAATACGCGTAAAGAGTCTGTAGACTCCTCTTTGGAATCTACTCTGGACAACAGCTGCCAAGGTGCACAAATGGATAATAAATCCGAAATCCAGTTATGGCTGTTAAAGAGAATTCAGGTACCCATTGAAGGTAAGCCAGATTTCTTTAATGCCTTTATAGTCTATTGGAGAGTTGCCTTTCTAAAACAAGTATATGCAATAGATAGCACAAGTAGTACCATCATTTAAGAACAATGTTTTCTTAATAGACTGTATCTTTACTAATACGTTAATAATTGGAAAAATTAGCAATATATGGTATGTATTGGGTCGTCGGGAAAGTCATGACGTATTTTTCTGTTTTTTGATGCAAAAATGCGTCATGACTTTCCCGACGACTCAATATTTTGGAACATGATATTTGACTTAGATTTCTATTCCAAAAGTAGGTTGCTTTTTAAAAAAGTCTTTCTAGAAACTTTTTTTTTACCTTGCATTTCTTAATCTAAATGAGTTTAAAATGTTGAAGATATTTCAGTTCTAAACTGAATTGCATTATGGTGTGAGTGGGTCCTCAGTACGATTCATTAATACATATTCTTGTGGATTGTCCTAATTCTTCACTATTTGATGTTGTGTTGGTTTTTATGCTTATTCCCGTACATAATATCTCATGTGAGGTAGACCAACCAGAAATGTCCAAAGCTTTTTCCTTGTGTGCTCAAGAAGGTCTAAAAAATTTAATTAGTCCCAATGTGATGATGATGTATGATGTTTCTGCCATGTTTTTGTCTTTCTATCACTAAGAGGGGATTGGACACTATTCTTTGTAAGTTGAAAAGTTTTACTGTCGCCAGTGTCGTCAGTATTGAGGAAGATATTTTTCATGTGTAATTCAGATATACTTCCTTCAAAAGAAGAGAAAAGCAAGACTCCACCCATGTTTCTGTGCATTAAAGTGGGGAAACCAATGAGAAAGTCCTTTGCCACTCACACTGCAGCCATGGTCCAGCAGTATGGCAAACGAAGAAAGCAGCCCGAGTACTGGTTTGCTGTGCCTCGCGAGAGGTGAGTGTGGGCTAACATTGAAAATCTGTTCATCAGTGAGACTCTAATTGCATCTTGATTTTTTAAAATTTAATCTTAAAATACTTAATTTTATTCTTGAATAAGAAATTTCTCTTAGTTGTACATTTTAGGATTTGTAGAATATCATATGAGTAACTTTCTGCTAACGGGTAGTTTAAGTCTAACAAATTTGAGGTGATCATTGGTACTGTGGGCTGAATCACTTTCTTAACTTTCTAACCAGTTGAATTTTAAATGAAGAAAGAGTTAGATATTCTCAAGTGCCAGTAATTGGAAGTGCTCTTCCGTTGAGAAGAAAGCAATTCCATGGAGAAGATGTAAACCCCTCAGAGTGCTATAGAGAGGCATGATTGCAATTTTTAAAGTGCTTATTATTCTGGGGAACTAAAGATTGCTTTGGCCTAATGGAGGAAGTATCTGTGATTCAGCAACTTGAGAAATGTGACATGAGATCACCTGGATGTGCTTGAGGGAATGTATACTTGTAGAGAGATTTGTATTTTAAATTGCCAAAGAAGAAATTTTATTGGTTATGTGACAGTCTTGGATAGCAGGGATAGTGGCCTAGAAATTCTTCAGCAATACATCACTGAGGACATCTTTATAATAAAAATAGGCAACATTATTTTTAGAAAAAATGAAGTATTTTCCGTTTTTATATACGGCAGAATAAAAATGTCTTTAAAAAGGGCTTGCAATTAGTTTTCAAAATTATTAAACGCACACGTTTTCCCTTTTTCTAACTATTCATCAAGCATCATGATCTGGGCAGACCTTTGGGCACACATCTGCCAAGAACAAATACACTCAGCGAGCTTCCTTAAGCATGACTTGTTAATAAGGCAAAATTAAATTCCAAGCAAGGGTACACTTTCTGGCTCATTAGTCCCCAAAATGAGAATTCTCATCAGGAGTTGCCTCATTTTAATAAATTATAGATTAATATGAAAAATAATCTGTAGGATTTTATTGAATTTGCTAGTATCTTTTCCCTGTCTTAGACACAATGAAGTTAACATGAACATTAAACATAATTTGTTTTGTATTTATGTGATACACCCCTCTACTTATACCTGCAACCACCGCAGTGTCTCATGGACACCGTAAACTAAGGATACTGTGGAGATAAAAAGAAAATGTGTCTTTTATTATTATTTAGAAATGTTTCAACAGAAGCAATGTAAATTTGTGAAACCCTGTTAAAATTAAAGTTGGAGAATCAAATGTCACAGCTGGATAGTACCTTAGAGGTTTAAGCCAGCTCCTGACTTTGTAGGTAAGGTAGACAAGGCACTGCAACTTTCAGCTCCATTGGGGCTGTGTGGATTTCAGGGGTCTGTCAGAAACAAAATGACCTATTATATGTGTCACTTTTTCACTGGGAAAATGTATGATTTATAATATAAAGAAATTAGGTGGTTTTTTTTTCACTATCTTTAATGAGACTGTGGTGTGCACCGAGGACTCTTGTAGAATAATTATAGCAATCTCACACGTGTAGTTAATTTCACTGTTATTCTTTAACTCAGAAAAGAATCTGTAATGCTGAAATAGTACTTCTCTTTGACCTTTTAAACAAGTGGTTTTGTGAGCTTTTTAAAGTAGGTCACTTGTTGAATTCTCTGATGTTGTATTTTATAGTGTGCCTGACTTATTTGTCTTTGGCTAGCAAATAACCTGGCATACTCCATTTTCTTTCTTGAACTGTTAACAACAATTATTCTGGGAGGCATTATATCTCACTGTGTTAGTGGTAGATTCTCTCTGTAGATGTTTGGAAATTTTTGTTTCCATTGCTCCTTTATTTCCATGTCTCCCTGTGTTAAAGGAAGCCACATTGTAGTTTTAAGACTGGGAACAATGGAGAAATCCTATAGTTAATTCCCACCCAGAGCTCTCCAAGTACATAGTAAGAAATAAGAAAGCTTATTTTTATTTTCAGTTTATGAAATTCTTCAGGATGTAAGGCTCAACAAAGCCCTTAAGGAGCCAAGAGTGGCATGAAGTGATTTTCTCATTCTGATGATGATTTCTGGATTCCCTTGCTGCATCAAACTGAGTGTTTCTATGTAATGGATCTCAGATGCATTGGCATTTCAGCAGCCAAATGAGGAAGTCATCCTAGCAGTGGCTAGGTTACCTTGTCCTCTCATAGACCTTCTAGTTGTGACAACTCATTCCATTGGCAGGTCTCTTTGACTCACCAAAGCTCCTTGTCACAGGAGAATAATATTTTGATGTTGACATAACTTCACAATTGTATTTCACGATGCCGCCCTATTATTCCTAATACTTTTTTGGTATTATATGATTTTATTGGTTTTTAACCAATTACTAAGTAAACATTTATGGGTGCTACATAAGGAAGTAAAAAAAAATACACAGATGCTAACAAAATGTAGTCTTGCTTTGAAACAGCAACAACAAAAAGTAGTAAGAAAACAATGTGACAAGTGTTGACAGAAGTACAGTTTCATAGAGCAATGAAGAAGCAAACCTAATGAGCTTGGGTTGCTATCCGTAACAAGGATAAGCCAGACATTTTTATCAATATTATTTTTTCCTTTTTTGTTACTAGTACTAAGAAATTAATTCACCCAAAACATCCCTTCTTCATTTGCAGTATGCTTTATGGCTTCCTTAACTCCATCATTGAATGAGTAGTCTACCACGTAAAAAACTGGGGAGGGCGAGATGCAGAGGAAGCGATGATGGGAGATAGACTCTAGCTCCTTTGCTTTCAATGCATTACTTGTTTTTCCTGCAACCCTTGTTAAATTTTAGATACTAGAAATGAAAGATGTGAAGTGGTTAAAGGCTGCCTACATACATAATAATATTTTTATTTAACTTGGTAGAAGTTGTCAGAAGGTTAAGACCACCATGGGTCCAGAAAAGCCGGTAGTTTTTTCTTGCACTCATACATTGCTACTTGAGACAAGAACGCTTTCACTGAGGGTTAAATGCACGTCAACTTAAAACCTTCTCTCTGTCCATTGTAGCTTGCAGAATCATATACTTCTCTTGAATTAGCTAAAGATGACAGTGGTGGACTTGGGGGATTTGAAGAATCCAGAACTTGACTTACAAACCTGGGACATCCAGTGTTTTTCCTACTTTCACTCTTGATGCTAATTTAAACATGAGGGCAATGGGTAACGTTGCGTTATTTTAATTGTCTAGTACAGGATTTCTCAACCTTGGCAATAATGACATTTAGAGCGGCAGAATTCTTTGTTTGAAGGGATGTCTTGTGCATTGTAGGATGTTTAGCAGCATCCATGGTCTCTACCCACTAGATGCCGGTAGCACCTACCCAGTCTTAACAACCAAAAGTGTCTCCAGACATTTCCAAATGTCCTTGGAGAGGCAAAATGACTTCATGCTGAGAACCACTGGTCAAGTAGGACTCTTAGACCATGGCCTAGACACCAATACAAAAGTGATTGTGAGCCATAATAGCTCACATTTTGGGATTTGACTACTTAAAACTTTATTGTATTTGATTATATTCACAGTATTTACTCACCTGCATACACTCTGTTTCCTTTACTAAACCTAATACCTTTTTGCAAATTATTTCATTACAGTTTATTTTTGAGCTTCCTTATTAATCTATAATTTTGTACCTATAAAAACAACACTATTGCTCCTAAAAGAATGGTTTATCTAGAAGGTAATCCTACATTGATAGAGTACAATACACAGTAGGGTTGTTGACAAGCATTTGTTTTTTCACCTTCACATTGCACAGTCCTGTGTTCGAAGGTATCTGAAGTATAAAAAGATAATACTATACCCGGACCTGGAAGAGGTGTGGAGCCATGGGCTGCCTGCTCTGGCCAGTAGAATAATGAGCCCCAGAACTGGGTAGAGATGAATGACAATCCCTAGGAATTGTGGGCCCTTTTACCTATTTGAAACATAATTTCATAATTTGACAAATGGGTCATGGTGAGTGTTAAGTAATTGGATCATATTTGAGCAAACAATTATTGAGTGCGTACTTCCTGGTAGGTATTGAGTTAGTTATAGAAAAATAAGACTGGAGCCCTACCCTGAGGAGCTTATAAAAAGCTGTTGAAAACAGTTTTCTAGCACTTACTAGAGACTTCATATAGATTGTATCCCAAAGATTTGGATACTGTTCTATGTAAAAACTAATTATTGTCTTTTTTCTTAATTTTAAAAGATAATTTCCTTTTCTGAACCAATAATTCCTTTTCAAATTAAACCTTTTTTTTCCAATTATGCATGGCCTAGTAACCTCTGAAATGTTTTATAATAATTGATTTCATATTATCCAGCTTTTAAAATAAATAAGATGGGAAAGGAATTAAATAGCAGGAATTATGTAGAATTTACCAAGTCATGCATAAATGTTTAATCCAAGTTGAATTAATTGGTTAGTGTGATTTGTGTAATAAGTAAGCTAATAAGACAGGGAAAGGGGGAGAGGGAGAGCCCGTGCATATTTAAAAAAATTTTTTAACTTAAATAATTACAAGATCATTTTAGCAACACTTGATCATACAGATAAGCAGGGAGAGTGGACAGAATCTGCAACAGAATTTTGCAATCTGCTTTTTTCTCCCCACTTAATAAGTTGTACACATTTACCATGTCAAATACTGTTATTTTATGTATATGAACAATATAGTTAGCACTCCCATTATGTGTCCTGATTGATTTAATCATATTCCTGCTTTGGACGTTAGGGTTTTCCAAGTCTTTTGCCATTATAAGCAATGCTACAATACACAGCTTTGTAAAATCCTTAAGGTAGTCTTACCAAGTCAAAGAATGTGTTTCAGGCTTTTAAATACATGTTGCACATGAAAGTGTGTGGCAATTTATACACCATTAGCACAAATGTGCCCTTTACTCCACATGCTGGGAAATCTAAGTAGTATGGTTCGTTTTCAGTTTGTTAGATGAAAAAGGAAGTAAATATGATTTTAACTTTTTTTATTTTATTTTAAAGTTGAGTGAGCACATGTTATATACCATTC